CGTCATTTTCAGCCATGGGTTCTCTCCCAAAGTGGTCTTAGTTTTTTTCGTACGTGAAATTTTTGAAAAGTGACATTTGGTGTCGTCAGGGGTCATCTCGGACATTTCGGCAACCTCCGCGGACTGCACATAAGCCCAGATTTCCCCTAACAAAATACTAAATTTCACGATTTAACACCCACGCCACATCCTTTTCTGAAATTTTCTTCGCTTAATATTTAGAGAAAATGCTGAATGACCCGAATCATGTGTCAAACAAAATGGCACGTGTCAGTTGCCCGCGTGACAACGATTTCCGCAACTTTTTTTGCTCCACAGCAACAACCAAAAAAGATCTCGAAAATCTAATTACATATTCGGATTCCCCACATATCATTCCCTATATAAAATTTTAATTTCATTTTTATCCAATTATTTTTCGATTTTTAACAACGTAAATAGTACTACAAACAATTGCACAAGGTACTAAACCTTTTTGTTTTTTCGGGGAATGTATAGTGTGTGCCAGATTAGTGCGCATTTGTTAAGGAATTTGGAAAAAAATGACAAGTGGAAATTTTAAAGTGTACATCCCATCCTTAACTATGGTTAACTATGGTTAACTATGGGGGCCACCATAGTTAAGAGTTTTTTTGGTGGGGTGTACTGGCCCGCACAGCGGCGAAAAAAGATTTTGTCGGCCCAAAAAATCCTATTCTGGACAATCCTGTATTCAGGCGCGATGGGCCGACGCCTTAACTATGGTTAACTATGGGGTGAGCCACAGTTTTTCGTCGGCCCTGGTGCAGTGTACAGGAGCGCGGTCTGGCGAAAAAAGATGGATTTTTCACGGATTTTTGCAGGTCTGCGCGCTCCTGCGTGTAAATCCGTAGGTGCATAAAAATCTTTTTTCTGAGTTTTGAAATGCAACTTTTTCACGCGCGCCCCGAAAAAAGATTGGCCTTGGCCCTAGAGGTTCCACGCACTTTATACACTCTGGCCCCGCGCTTTTCGCACCTAGGCCCCGGACATAAACCCTTGGCCCCGGACATAAAAATGTGGCCCCACGCACAATATTTTGAGCCGCACTCTGGGTGCATCCAATGTTCGGAGGATATATAAGGAGAAAAAAACACATCTTTACACCACACAAAGTAGACTTACTTGAGTGCGTCTCATGGTCAGATTTTGTTTAAAGGTTGGATCTTCTTAAAGACGAAGTTGGATGAGTTTTTCATTCAGTGAAGTTGTTGATTTGGAATTGTACCAGACGATCACTGCATGAGTTTTCATGGTGGTTTTTGTGAGGTATGGTTTTGAATTGTTTGGGGTGATATTGGAAGAAGATATTCTTCTGGTGAAGGTTTGTTTCGGGGCCTAGTTTTCTGTTTTAGAGATAAAGGTTTCAGAAGTTTTGTGAAGATTTATGTTGTTTGAGTTTCATCTATGCTTTATGCTGGGTGAGGTTTGAATGATGTGGGTTGGAGCAGTGAGAAGATTTCTGGAGCTGATATTTCTAGGGCAGGGAGCGAAAGTTTTGGAGCTAACTGGAATCAGGTGAGTATTTATTTTGATAAAGTTTCAGGCGGTCCAAAATTATACCAACCAAAATTCATCATCGGTCCCTTTACGTAGAGATAAGATAGAACGTTCCTCTTCTCAACCATCTGTCTCTAAAACCCACCCTACTAAATCTACCTGCCTCAATCTTTTCTCTTTTTCTCCTTGTCTCAATCTCTCTTATTCTACTTTATATGTTGTATAGTTCATCTCTTTGGCCTCTGAGCCTGCGTTGGTTCTGGTTTCGACCAGTCGACGTGGACTCAAAGAATCCTTCAGTCTTGTGCCGATGAACGTCGGGGCAAGCAATGATGGGTTTGGTGGATTACTAGCCTATGGCAAAATAATCTTCAAATCAACGGGGGTATCTCAGACCCCCTCCAACTGTTCTGACCAAGTATCACACCATGATACCCATCAGAACAGGAAGAGAAATCTGTGGACTCTTTCAGCTTCAAACCAAAAAAAACTTCAGTTTCTGTAGTTATCTGGTTGATCCTGCCAGTAGTCATATGCTTGTCTCAAAGATTAAGCCATGCATGTCTAAGTATAAACAATCTATACAGTGAAACTGCGAATGGCTCATTAAATCAGTTATCGTTTATTTGATAGTACCTTGCTAATTGGCATACGCCTGGCAATTCTAGAGCTAATACATGCATTCAAGCCCAACCTCTGGAAGGGCTGTATTTATTAGATAAAAAATCAACAACCTTAGATGATTCATAATAACTTGTCGAATCGCATGGCCTCGGGCCGGCGATGGTTCATTCAAATTTCTGCCCTATCAACTTTCGATGGTAGGATAGAGGCCTACCATGGTTTCAACGGGTAACGGGGAATAAGGGTTCGGTTCCGGAGAGGGAGCCTGAGAAACGGCTACCACATCCAAGGAAGGCAGCAGGCGCGCAAATTACCCAATCCTGACACAGGGAGGTAGTGACAATAAATAACGATACAGGGCCCTTTTGGGTCTTGTAATTGGAATGAGTACAATGTAAATACCTTAACGAGGAACAATTGGAGGGCAAGTCTGGTGCCAGCAGCCGCGGTAATTCCAGCTCCAAGAGCGTATATTAAAGTTGTTGCAGTTAAAAAGCTCGTAGTTGAATTTTGGGGTGGCCCCAGGAGGTCCACTTATTTGTGAGTACTTTTTGGGACCGCCCTTCCATGGCTTATCCCTTCAGGGGGGTGGGCCATAATTACTTTGAGTAAATGAGAGTGTTCAAAGCAGGCAAGCGCTTGAATCTTTTAGCATGGAATAATAAAATAGGACGATGATTCTATTTTGTTGGTTTCTAGGACCATCGTAATGATTAATAGGGACGGTCGGGGGCATTAGTATTCAGTTGTAAGAGGTGAAATTCTTAGATTTTCTGAAGACTAACTACTGCGAAAGCATTTGTCAAGGACGTTTTCATTAATCAAGAACGAAAGTTAGGGGATCGAAGATGATCAGATACCGTCGTAGTCTTAACCATAAACTATGCCGACTAGGGATTGGGCGACGCCTCATGTAAATGACGCGCCCAGCACCTTACGAGAAATCAAAGTTTTTGGGTTCTGGGGGGAGTATGGTCGCAAGGCTGAAACTTAAAGGAATTGACGGAAGGGCACCACCAGGAGTGGAGCCTGCGGCTTAATTTGACTCAACACGGGGAAACTCACCAGGTCCAGACACAATAAGGATTGACAGATTGAGAGCTCTTTCTTGATTTTGTGGGTGGTGGTGCATGGCCGTTCTTAGTTGGTGGAGTGATTTGTCTGCTTAATTGCGATAACGAACGAGACCTTAGCTTTTATTTGCGCAGCTTAACAATTTTGTTGGGTTTGCGCCATAAAAGGACTATCGAATTCAAGTCGATGGAAGTTTGAGGCAATAACAGGTCTGTGATGCCCTTAGACGTTCTGGGCCGCACGCGCGCTACACTGACGGAGCCAGCGAGTTTACCTTAGCCGAGAGGTTTGGGAAATCTTGAGAAACTCCGTCGTGCTGGGGATAGAGCATTGTAATTTTTGCTCTTCAACGAGGAATTCCTAGTAAGCGCAAGTCATCAGCTTGCGTTGATTACGTCCCTGCCCTTTGTACACACCGCCCGTCGCTACTACCGATTGAATGGCTTAGTGAGGCCTCTGGATTAAGCTTTAAGCTGGGGCAACCCGGGTTAATGCTGAGAAACTGGTCAAACTTGGTCATTTAGAGGAAGTAAAAGTCGTAACAAGGTTTCCGTAGGTGAACCTGCGGAAGGATCATTAAAAAAAAATATAATACACTCTTTCTAGGAAAACAAACAAAATCTTATCTTTCAACAAACATTTTTAAAAAAAAAAACTTTCAACAACGGATCTCTTGGTTCTCGCATCGATGAAGAACGCAGCGAATTGCGATACGTAATATGACTTGCAGACGTGAATCATTGAATTTTTGAACGCACATTGCGCCTTAAGGTATTCCTCAAGGCATGCGTGGATGAGCGATATTTACTCTCAAACCTCTTGGTTTGGTCTTGACTCCAGGTCTAAATATCAAATGACTCTAGAATAAGTTTTAGATTCTTCCAATCCTTCCTCATCTTCGTAAGACTACCCGCTGAACTTAAGCATATCAATAAGCGGAGGAAAAGAAACCAACAGGGATTGCCTCAGTAACGGCGAGTGAAGCGGCAAAAGCTCAAATTTGAAATCCTCCGGGAATTGTAATTTGAAGGTGGTCTCAGTTAGTTCAAACATTCTTAAGTCCATTGGAAAATGGCGCCATGGAGGGTGATAGCCCCGTAAAGAATCCGTTTTGTTCTATTTTCTTTGACCACCAAAGAGTCGAGTTGTTTGGGAATGCAGCT